TTCTGTGGCCCCTGTGAGATTGACCATTTCTTCTGTGACCTCCCCCCTATCCTGGCGCTGGCCTGTGGAGACACATCCCACAATGAAGCTGCTGTCTTTGTGGTTGCTGTCCTTTGCATTTCCAGCCCATTTGTGTTGATCCTTGCTTCCTATGCTAGAATTCTAGTGGCAGTGCTGGTCATGCCCTCACCTGAGGGCCGCCACAAAGCTCTCTCCACCTGTTCCTCCCACCTACTCGTAGTAACCCTATTCTATGGCTCAGGGACAGTCACCTACTTGAGGCCCAAGGCTAGTCACTCACCAGGAACTGATAAACTCCTTGCTCTCTTCTACACGGTGGTGACGTCCATGCTGAATCCCATAATTTATAGTTTGCGGAACAAGGAAGTGAAGGCAGCCCTGCGGAGAACTCTGGGAAAGAGGGAAGTTTTGTCCCATGGATAGTAACAGAGAGCCTGGAAAATGTGTACTTCAGAAAAGTGTTCAGCCAAGTAAAGAAACCAAGAAAATGCTGTGTAGTCTTTCATCTGTCCTGCGATGTGGTTCTTTAATAACTCACTGGGATTTTAGAAGTTTCTCGGCTCAGTGTTATGTTGATTGCAAATTCTTGAAGGAAGCTATCTACTAAATATCTGAGTCTAACAATACAGAAAAGTGTTTACATGCTGCTGAGATTAACTTCAAACTTACCAGATTTATAATTTACCAATATATCAGAAATTTGTCAAATTCTTATTCATATTCTTAGACACATTCTGTATCTGAGGGCTCTGATTTCCATAGTTATCTGCTCTATTTGTCTCTTACTTTTCTAATAACTATATGAAGCACATTGTTTCATTCTGTAAATGTGTTTTAAAATTTCTGAATTGAATTTATGGGTACATATTTCAGAGTGATAAGTTTTTATGTGTGAATTGGGTACTTAAAAATATATTGATAATCCCTAACCAAACTTTAGTTTTAGAACTATTTACTCTAGAACCTTCAAACAAAAGTGTCATAAACTCTCATCAAGTTACCATAAAAATATTTTCAAAGAAAAAAATTAATATGAAAATGCAAAGATGGGTGAAGAAATTTTATTAATAATTAAAACAAATCATTTATAAGATTTTAATACAATTTACATATGTGCAGCATATTTGGCGAATACTCAACAACTTGCCTCAAGAGAAATTAGCATATTTACTGCATAATCCAGCAGCCCTAAGAACTTAAAAATGCATAATTTTGAACTTGAACATCTAGTTCTAGGAGAGATACAGTGTCAATAGTTGACCTATGCACTATTTGAAATGTAGTATCATTTCAGTTCTTGGAAAACTACAATTTCTACCTTTGTCTTGATCTGTCATGTATGAACTTTGGTGTCTTATAATGTGATAGTTCTACTTTGACATGGTAATACTGTCGCTCAATAATGAGCCAGCATGTCTCTGTAAGTAGAATGATGAATCAGTGTTCCGTCCAGGCTGTCTGATTCCAGAACCAAGGAGGCCATGTTCCATTTCATGATATCTGTGGTCTGCTCTATACTTTTGTATCCACTTCTGAATGAAAAGAGTATTGAACAGAACCAAATGTACCTAGAAAATACCTCTTCTAGGTGGTTATAATCTTGACATTGAAATTTCTCTCTACTTCTGGAGAATGATTTTAGCTGATTTAGTTTTCATTTGAAAGCTTCTCCTTTGACTTGAATCATCATATGCAATAAATAACTTTTCAGTCATATTTAACGATATTCTTAACAAACACCTAACTAATATTTAAAATGACAATCTTTTAAGTGTGATATAAAAATCTAAAACCATTTCTTCTTTTTGCATAAAATGCTGGCACAAGAGTATTCTGTCTTCAAGGGGCTGGGAAGGTGGCTCAGTGGTAGAGTGTTTGCCTTACATGCATGAGGCCCTGGGTTTGATTCCTCAGCATCACATAAGAAAAAGAAAAAAGCCAGAAGTGGCGCTGTGGCTCAAATGGTAGAGTGCTAGCCTTGAGCTGAAGAACTGAGGGACAGTGCCCAGGCCCAGAGTTCAGGCCCCACAACCAGACCCCCCCCAAAAAAAAAGAGTATTCTGTCTTCAAGTAAATTTCTCAAACAGATATATTTTTAGAATCCATTAAAGTTTATTGGATTCAACAGTATATGGCCCAGCACCAATGGCTCACACCTATAATTCTAAGTACTCTGAAGGCTGATACCTGGGCAAGAAAGTCATTAAGACTCTTATCTCCAATTATCCACCTTAATGAAGCCAGAAGTGCACCTGTGGCTCAAAGGGTCAAGCACCAGCCTTGAGTGAAAACACTAAAGGAGAAAGCCCCAATACCAGCACAAAAGAAGTTAATGAAAGTAAAATAAGATCATTCAGGTGGGCATCATTCAATATAACTGGCATTCTTCTGAGATGAAGAAATTAAAACACAGACAAGTTCAGAGGGAAAAACATGGGAGGACATAGGGAAGGTGACCAACTATCTTAAAGTTCAGGTATGTGAAAGAACAATCTCAGAGTTTAAGCCTTTAGAATAGAGAAAAATGAATTTTTGTTATTTGAGCAAAACATTGAAAAAAATTTGACTGCTTATCCTAAGAACTCTACACAGAAACTGTATTCTAGTTAACATTCTCATTGAGTTAAAGTTAGTTATTCTAAAGCTATTTTATGTGTTTACTGAAACTGAATACTAATGAGTATTCCACTGTCACCTTGAGCAAGTTACATACCAACTGCATCTGTCTGCTGACAAAATGCAGTTTTTAGCTTCAGAAGATATAGTCCCAGTCATAATATGTTGAAAAGAGCTTATACAGGACAAGGTGCCATCACAAGCCTGTCAATTCCAATGTCTATTCTCTTCCAAGGCAAAGGTGAACATTTTCCTTAATCGACCAGCAGAAGGCCTAAGGTTAGTGAATATATCAAACAGAGGGCCTATGATTGGTGTAAACACAGTCCTTCATTTGCATGAAGCTTCCCATATTTGGTCAAAAGCCCCTTGCCACCACCCTTTCCCCACCTTTTCTTACTGCATAAGGAGGATATTCAGCTTGCTTTTTCGGCCAGCAGACATATCCCTGTCTATGCTGCCTCCTGGTAGGGAGATACCTACCTATGCTGACTCTTGCAAAACTGAGCCCAATCAATGGTTTCCCTTAAATGATTTTGTTTTGCTTTCTTTTGATCCTAGTTAGAAGCAGTAGAGTGGGCTGAACAGGTAACACAAAGAGAGGATAGGAGTAGTAGCAGCAGCAGAGTGATACAGTTTGAAGCAGCAAGAATGGCATCAGAACTAGCAGTAGCTGATGCCTTTTCTGTAGCAGTGGCACTAGTACCAATAGTGCAACTGAAGATGCACAAGGTAGACTTTACACTCTAGGTTAATCTTTCATATACACAAACATACACATATTTCTTTAAGCAGTTATACAGAGGAGTTACCCTTCCTCAGAGCAGTTTATGAACACATTTCATCTTGATCAATATCATCCCTTTCAACATTAACTTTGTTAATAATATTCTGTTACTTGGTATAAGTGTTATTAACATTTTTTTCCTTTCTGTAGAACACAGAATAATTATGTTCTTTATGTGTGTAATGCTGCAATAAATTACACTAATAAGATCTTCCAGTAGTTCACCAAAACTATTGACACAAGTGAAAGGAGACAGACAAACAACATATGTTTGCTAAGTCTTTTATAAAACATGAAGTTGTTCATTGGCCACAGAGGTGCGCACACACACAAAGCTCTTATTATACACATCAAGGGAGGTGGGTGCTGCTCACAAGGAATGCCCTACAAATATAATATAGGCACAACTGGAAGAATCTACACTGCCTAATACACTGATGGCATGGATGTAAGTAATTGAAAGGACAGTTTGTTATCAGATGAATAAATATCAACATGCAGAACACAAATTGTGTTTATGAATTTTGTTTTAGAATCTGGGTTTAGAGATTAAAGGTTGATCAAAGGAAATGAGATGCTTAAGAGAGTTTGCCTACATTACCTTGGCAATATCTTCCTGTCTGTAAGTAGCCAGTCTCACAGCTAGCTCATCTCTCTGTACAACCTCTTCTGTGGTGAGAGTGATTTTTAAAAAATCACTGCTTTGTGAGTCTGTTTGTGTTTAGCCCAAGGTGATCTTGCTAAAATGAACAAACATCTCCCAAAATAAGGCAAAATTTTAGATAATGGTTTTCTATTAGGTCTTTATAACATCTAAAAAGCTATGAACAGAAACCATACTGCCTGTGGGACTACCAGAGGTGAGACCTAACAAATAATAGGAAGTATTGTCAGATAAACTTAAAGCTTCACAGTTATGGTTCAAGCTGTACTTCCATGAGGTAGATGATTTACTGTTCTGATGAGAAAGTAGATTTGCCCTGTGTGTCATCAGCCTTATTATTAGTCCCTGGAGAAATAGCCCTCAGACTTATAAATGTGTTATACATATGCACAATCATGTACCTAAATAAATTTATTTCTTCATAGAATTTTATGAAGTATCTGAAAAGAGATATTATACAATATTTGCAGAAGGAAGCATTAAAAAAGATCTAGGTAACCAACATCAAGATATAATTGATGACAATTTACCACCTACTTTTATTTAGGAGATTTGCTAATGCTTCTAATAAATGAAAAGAGAAAACATAATTATATGATATATTAAAGTCTGAGAGACTGAATGGGTGTGTTTCATATTTCTCCCTAACTTGAGTCTTTGGACAGCAACTGTTTTATTGCCCATTTTACTTCTTTGTTTCTCAAGGTATAGATCAAAGGATTAAGTGAGGGAGTCACTACAGTATAAAAAAGGGTAAGGAATTTTCTGTGATTTTGTGTGTATTCACTCTTAGGTTGAATGTAGACAGAAATTATAGTACCATAAAACAAAACCACGACAATCAGGTGAGACCCACAAGTCCCAAATGCTTTTCTCCTGCCTTCAGTGGATTTTATCCTTAGCACACTTCTAACAATGCAGCCGTAAGAGACTAAAATAAGCCCCAGAGGTAAAACCACATAGAGGACAGTAGCCATGGCAAGCTCATTTTCTAGGAAAGTTGTGTCCATGCAGGCAATTTTTATCAGAGCAGGCTCTTCACACATGAAATCATCCACCCTATGGTGACTACAGAGTCGTAACTGGAAAACAAGACTGGTTTGGATTGTGGATTCCACAAAACCACTGATCCAGGCCACAGCTGCTAGTAGCTGGAGAAGTTTGGGGTGCATGATAATGCCATAATGGAGAGGTCGACAGATAGCATTGAAGCGATCATAGGCCATGACAGTCAGGAGGACACACTCTGTGGAACCCAGCCCCAATGTAATATACAGCTGAGTCACACAACCAGCATAGCTAATGGTCTTCTCAGGGCCCTTGAGGTTCCAAAGCATCTGTGGAACAATGCTAGTA